AATAAAAGCGAGTAGTTTTATTTCGCGAGCAATGCGCCTCGCGTAATTATGCGATGATTTATTCCTCGCGTATGTATAGGAATCTACAGTAAGTGTACTCTAGAATTCAGTCACGATAATTCTTCGATCCCTCTAATCCTAGGGTGTTACAACTTGAACAATAATTATAATTAAAATGATCGTGGTTAACAGGAAAGCAGTACAAAAAATTCAAAGATTACATGTGTATAATTATGTATTTATCCTTTTTATACATTTCCAACATATTTGTGGAATAAAAGCAAAATATTCTCTCGTCAAAATTTTATCGGCTCATGTCTGGATTTATCAGATACATGTACATTGTAAACTGGTAAACACAAAATAATTAATTGCACGGTGTTTGCCTAACGGTCTACGAAAATCAAATATATATGTACTGCAATTTTTTAAGTAAGATTCTATTAAAAGAAAAGTAAAACTTGCCACTGAGTGATTACAATGTATAAAAAAAATCATTTAATGCGATGATAATTAATTTGAAGAAATTCTGATGAATTGTATTTGAATTTAAAAGAAAAAAATATGATAACTCACTTACTGAAACCAGATGGAAATGTAAATGCATTCGTATTTTAAAAAATGTTATAACTTCTCATTTGGATAATTATTATATAAATTCATTTTTATCTAAGAGGTTAAAAAATCTCGATCCTATTACGAGAACGCGTCTTCTTTAATATTCCATGAAATAGTTTTGTACAATTTTGATAACAAATACTGAACACAGAAGTATGGTATTTAAAAATGCATGGGCATAAGAGTATGATGTCCACTTGTACCTTTACGTATTATTCATAACGATACAAGTTCACAACAATATAATTGTTAATGTAACACTTAAAGAAGGAATATTTACATTCACTGAATATTTCCTCCTCTATTCCTGAAGAAAACCATTGTCGTTTATTAGTCAGTAAACACCACTAAGCATATCAACTGTACAGATCATCTGAGCGGTGGCTCTTCCGTCAATGAAATGTATTATGATGTTCATACCAATAATACCCTTACAAACAACCCAAGAAAGCATTTAATTATTTAAATAATGAACTGTTTATACCTAATATGTAGTTTTGAGGCCCATAGGACCCTAGCTTGTGGAGGAGGGACGTGAAATTTTGTTAAGTATAATCCGAAGATGAGTCAGTTGAGGATTCTGTTACATCACTAGATGACGATTCATCACTACTAGATTTATTACAATCCAACACATTTTCTGGCATTATCTGAGTTTTTGATGATATTTTGTTGTGCCTTTGGATGCCTATATATCCAAAGAAGAGAAGCGACTTGGGCACAAACCCCCACGAGACGAGCCCCTGACTTACATTGACAGTACCAGAATTTTATAGGATCTAATTCGTCCTCTGAATCAAACTGTACCCACAGATAATATGAACTTTGAGGATACATGTCTAGACTGTATTTTCCCCTGTATTATATTTGACATTGTTTTCCTTACAAAAATATCATATCCCCCGTCTTCATCTAAATGTTCACGTGTATAAGAAAATGCTTGTTTTATTTGGTATACCCCAAATGTGAGTGATCGAAGGTAATCTTCTGAGAGAACAGGGAAATCTGGTCCTGCGTCTGCCGCGTCTATCTTTGTTAATTTCATTGATAGTATTCGTTTGCCAGAGTCATTAATAAACATATTTTTTAAAGGGTTAACTTTTATTTTTGATTTGTGGAGCATTTTCTGTGACGTTTCTAAATCTCTTGGAGAATCAGATGATAGGGGTGGTCTAAATGCATTGCTCAATGATCCTACAATACGTACATAATCTCTGATAAACATAATTTGTGTGTTTGAAACTATATTTGCTAAGAATTTCCATCTTCTTAATCTACCATTTGCAGATTCTATTGCCCATCTAATTTTGGTCACTAACCTAGATGTATTAGCTTCATATACAGAATGTTGTTTTTGTCCCTTCCCCAGAAAATATGGCGACTAGAGTGATCTTAACCCCACCGACTCAATAATATCAAGAGAATCCCTAAAACCCCTATCTAAAACTAAAATGTCATTTTTGTCAAACCATTTTGAAATAGAATCTTCTTTTTTGGATAAATGCTTGTTTAGAATAGCGGCATTATTATTTTTCCCATCTGCAAGGTATGTACCAAGGATGTCAACAATATACCCGTCGGATGACACAACCATCATTGGTTTGATAAGAGGTCAGCCTTTGTATACACTGTAAGACTTTCTTTGAAAAGCATATTTTGAACTTTTTTCTATATAAATGTATGTGCCATGGAGGAGAAGGATTGCTGTATTTGAATCACCGGATGCAAGAAGTTCCCTCGCAAATCTGGTAGTGTGATTCTGAATCACCTCATCTTGTGTGATATGGTCGAAGCCCATACATTTTGGAACGAATTGAGTCATCATAGCTTCTCTAACATTCTTGACAATTTTAGAAATACAGCAAGATTTATCAATACCAAATAAAGTTTTTAGTATGTTATTTGAGAGACCAGTGCTTAATTTTGTTAACAGAATTCCTACAGGCATTTTCTTTGTGTACTTTTTATTGCACAAAGTGAGAATTGAACATAATTTTTCAAACTGTGAATAAGAAATTCCTGTCTAATTATAACAATCTTCATCACTGAGAAAATCATTTTCGAAATTTATTCTTTTGTTTTCAGATCGCAGCAGAAGTTTCCAAAAGTTTGTAAGTTGCTCTGCAAGCTCTGCGGATGACATTGCTTTTGTACCGACTCTTGCTCTATGAGAATATTCCTGCAGATCAGAATCTTTTAATTCTTTGCCTTCAAAATGACAAGGACAAGCTCGTGCTTTCTCATGAAGAATTATATTATGTTTTAAAAAAACTTGTGAACGGGCCTTGCCAAGAATAACTTGCATCCGTTTTTCTTTTTTTCCACATACAGTGCAGTATTTGTGTGACTTTGTGCCTAAATAACGGGTGCTTATATCTGATGGAGGAGTAGAACTTAACTTATTATGTAATATTCCCTTATGGAATTGTAAAAAGCATCTGCCACAAATAACATCATTTTCTGATACTGTCTTCCCAGTAACAGAAGCTAAGGTCTCTCTACAGGTTTCATTTCTTTTGCCTTTTAATGCCCTTTGATTACCACAACCGGCACGCTTACTGCATACAATGCAACTAAACGACTTTGGCATGGCAAAGCTATACACAAAACAATCTCGACTCAAGATAGAACAACTTATTACACCAAGTCAAACCTCATACAAGCTAATGCAGTGTCCCTGTATATAATAAGAATAATAGGTCCTAAATATATAGATCGATAGTATACTTACTTAAAGAAAAAACACCTAATGTACAATATAAGTTTATACTAAACCACAACAACAAAGATATTCAAACGAAGCCAAAATTCCTACGATATGAGCTGACGAGTAGCGTCGACCACATGTACCCGAGCAAGTGAGAAGAATGTAAACCATGTGACAGGCGTACAAAAAAAAGTTAAGTGTATTCACCAGGAAAGGTGAGTAAGGTTATGAAAGGTCACGCCAGGTAAACAATGATCAATTATAATGGGGAAGGCCATTTAGATTTTTGAATGTTTTTAATTACAGGAATCGAGCGCATTGAGGTACAATTTTCTCCTTTCATATATAGGTAGATTTTCATAAAATACAGTGACCAGCCGAGGGAGAAAATTGTACCTAATTGCACTCATATATTTTAAGAGCTTTATAAAGGGGGGCGGGGCTAAAAATGAATGGGAATTGGATGTAAACAGTGTACCCCTACCTGAAATGTAGTAATATATCTTACATACAATCTTCCTATATTCAGTAAATGTGGTTTTCCATAAAGGTACATATGTCAAAGACTAAGTACAGTGCGGACTCGTTATTACGATGTTCATTTTGTCAGGGTAAAATATTGTAATACCGAGGGCAACGTAATAAAAGTTCCCAACAAAATCCAGTTAAACATCGTTTTGAAAGCGTGTTGTTGTTTTAGGAGCAGGGCTCGACATTAACTTTTTTTCTTACTTGTCTATTCGGACAAGTGACCAAGACATTCACTTGTCCGAACTTCAACTTCACTTGTCCGAAAATTTTTCAATAAAGATCTAATACTGTCAAGTTGAAAACTAAAATAAAGTCCATTACACATGACATGTGCTTGATTGATTCGTGATGTTATTGGTATTTACAACAAACACATAAAACGAAATTTTATCGAGGCTTTCTGTCCTGACAACATAAATGTCCACAAGTGAACAAAACTTCGTTAAGTTCGTAAGTTCCATGCCTTTTCAGTAGTATGCAATTAGTGAACTTCGATCCCGAATCAATGTGAACTCAATTAGTAGCGATCCCTATCAGGATCGAAGTCCGGTTTTTATGTACAGCTTCCGTCTTGAAACTACCGATTATCTTTCACAGTCGTTCTTATTATTATTTAGAGACTCCTTTACATAAAAATGCACTTGTCCAATCGGACAAGTGCCCAGCAATATTCACTTGTCCGTAATTTTTTTTCACTGGTACCGGGCAAGCGGACAAGCGTTAATGTCGAGCCCTGAGGAGGTGTATTTTTCTCCTTTTGTTTCCTTCTTCTCTTCAAATTCTTCATTAAAACGCTATATATTTATTAATAACTTATCTTAAATAGATATCTTCATGAAGTTATTTCTTCTATTTCATTTATTTTAAAAGAAATGTGCACATTTTTAGAAAAAACTTCGGCAATCTTCATTTATCTGCCGCCATTTCCTTTTACTTTCGTTTCTGTCTAGATAATGCGTTCGTAAAATTTTCAATGTCTTCGTATCGATACTACATAAACAACAACAACAACATTTTTTTAATTAATTAATTTATTTATTTAAATAAAAAGTAAACATAATTTAAAACAGAATTTCACAGCATACTCACCATAGTCGCTTCACAATGGAATGCACTTCACTATTGTTTATTTCACTTACGCATTTCAAGGGATCCAGTCAATGAATTCCGTGATCTTCCTCTGTTTCTTGGCCCTGTTTAGGATTTCTTCACACTTATCTTCCAAGTTGTAGATCAGCTGAAAATCTTCCTCGTTGTTTTCCTCATAGAATCTTCTGAATGCCTTCAACATACTCCGTATTTCATTGCCGGTAAGCGGTAACTCAAACTCGTATTCTTCATCTTCCTCTACACTTTCTTCACATTCTTCTTCTTCCGCTCCCCTGTTTTCCATGAATTCTGCACAAATTTCTTCGTCTGTAGGCACATGGTGACACTGAAGGGTGTTGTCGTGGTTGATGAATTCCTCAAACTCACGAATCCATTCACTGAATATTTCTCCGGTCATCCAAGAATTCTTGTTGGCTCTATACATTACAGGAAGACTTTTTCCCCTGAAGCATCTTGGATCTTTACTTTTCCCGATGATAAGCAGTTTTCTTTTGTCATCCCCACTCATGTTGGCACACACTAGAGCTGTCACACGATCTTTGCACTTCTTTGAACCACTTGCAATCTCGTTCTTGAATGTATGGGTGCTGTCTGGAATGGCGCGGTAGTAGATCCCGGTCTTGTCGGCGTTGTAGATATCTTCGGCTTTATAATCTCGAATCATCTCCGGAAGAACCTCCGTGATCCAGCGGTTGGCAGCATCTGTATCGGCATCTTTTTTCTCTCCGTGCAATTTCTTGAACCCGATGTTCTCCCTGGCCTTGAACCTTGACAACCAGCCTTTACTCGCGTTGAAATCCGTCACATTCATCTGTTTGGCGAATTGGGCTGCTTTTTCCTGTAGAATAGGTCCGCTGATAGGGATGTCTCGTTGTCTAGCTGTCTGAAACCATTCCTTGAGTGCGCTGTCCAGGTGGGCTTTATTTCCAGATCGCTGTCGTTTCCTCTCTGGATTTCCGCAAGATTCATAATTTTCCTTGATCTTTGTGCGGTTCTTGGAGATTGTTGAAATGCTGGATTGTGCAATTCCATATCGGCGTCCTATTTCCGACTGAGATACTTTTTGATCCAGAAGTTTGACGATTTCATACTTCGTGGAAAGGGTGAGAACGGTCCTCTTCCTTTTTAGCGACATGTTGATAATTTCACAAACACAAACACTTTCAAATCACAAGTTCACACAAAAAATGAAGCACTAAACACTAAGAGGGAACACAAGCACTAAGAAGGAACACAAGCATGTTCACATTTAAAGAAAGCACAAGAAAACAGCACTAAAAAATAAAGAACACAAAATAGCACTAAGAGTACATCTCTAGGGTGGTTTCGGGTGTTCAATGAGCTTAGAGCTGCAGTGAACAACTGATGAAAGTGGGCAGTGTGACAGGCATATTTATGGACAGGATTTGAGAACACACAAGCTAAATGTCAAAATTAATTTGAATTTTTAAATTACTGAACAGAGTTCAATTAGCAGTTCAGCAATTATCGATCTGTATTTCTGCTGACACCTGCGAGGTAGTCCAAGCCACTATCCAAGCTGTTAAAATGTTATAGGAGTTCAAATTCTGCCAAAATTATTTTTGATACCCAAGCTGTCCATTCCCGCAAACGAAATTACACATTACGTATTTAACATACATGCATACGATTAATTGTAACCTTTTATTTAATAAATAAATTTTACTTATTAACCATAGTAAAAAAATAAAATAAACTTTACAGAGATAGATCAACTAGAGACTACATTTATAAATAAACAGTTTAATTGTTGAACAATGGCTTTGACACGTCTCCAATTCTGCTGACCACGCTAAAACAGTCAAGGTGTGTGCAGTCAGGCGTCACTAATCACCTAACGGCCCTGCAAGTTAACACTCTGACAGAGCACAGGTGTTTCAATGTTTATTTAGCGTCTCCTTAAGTGTCTACCGTCGATCAACACTGAATAAACACGGAGTGAAAAAATTTTTGGACAGAATTTTTACATCGTAATACCGAGTCCCGGCATTTTAGGACATCGTAATAAACGGTTCTATTTTGTATAGATTTGTTAAGAAATGGTTTTGTGCTTTGAATTTACAACGTAATAAGCGTTCTATCTTATAAAACCGTCACCGTAATAACGAGTCCGCACTGTACATGCAAAAATAAGTGTAAAATTCGGATATTTATTTCTTGTCCATCTATCGAGGGGCCGTATGGCACATCATCCTTTATTTTATTCATTCAATTACATTTTGTTTCCAGGTAAATATAGATTGTTCATATCATTTTTATACCCGCACTATCTAAAGAAAGTTTGGGTATATTGTTGTTACCCTGGTCTGTACATTTGTCTGTCTCTCACACTTTCTTTTTCCTCAAACTCCTCCTTTATATTTTAAGCAGAACCAACTGATCTTTTGGAATATGATAGGGGGTGTCCTGTAGATGTGCAATAAGGTTTTGGAATTTTTAATTTTACCCTGGGGGCAGAATAAGGGTAAAAAAAATGATGTTTTTTTCTATAAATATCTGGTTCCTTGACCTTCTCTTACATTTACCCAGTAGCCACACCATCTTTTGGAAGATGATTTGTGGTGTCCAGTAGATGTGCAATAAGGTTTCAGAATTTTCATTTTCACCCTAGGGGTCAAATGGGGGTCAACATTGATGCTTTTGTACATAAAGCTGGTTCCCAGAACTCCTCTTATATTTCATGCGGTAGACAAATCATCTTTTGAGAGATGACTGATGTGCAATAAAGATTCGGATTTTTCATTTTTCCCCTGGGGATCAAATGGGGGCCAATAAATGATGTTTTTTCTACAAAAAAACCCAGTTACCCCTAACTCTTACAACATTTAAAGCAGAAACCAAAGCATCTTTTGGAAGATGAATGGGGGTGTATTGTAGATGTGCAATAAGGTTTTGGAATTTTAATTTTTACCCTAGGGGACAAATGGAGGTTGAAAATGAAGTTTTTCCTACCATAAAAACCCTGGTTCCCAGAACTCCTGTTACATTTTATGCAATAGCCAAATTATCTTTTAAAGATGACTGCTGGGGTCCGGTTGATATGCAATAAAGTTTCGGAATTTTAATCTTCACCCTGGGGGTCAAATGGGGGTCAAAAAATGATGTTTTTTATAATTATAATTAATGATCACATGTATGATAACGATAATTGGGTAAGAATCTGATGCTACCCCTAACATATAGATTTAATATTCAGGGCATAAACTGGGGTAATTCAATCCGAGGGGTTTTTTTGGTTGTAGGAATTCTGTAACACTTGACCTTCCTAATGACCTTTGAATTTACTATTTATGTATAAAACTAAGTTTTAAATTAACTGTTCAAGATATTTTCATCAAACTTTATACACTTACACAAATTTTCAAGTTGCATTACTAATGAACCCTGGGCAGGGCATTCATGTCCTATGGACATATTTCAAGTTAAAGATTATTTCAAATATAATTCTAGTCAAAACTTTTATCACCCATTTTGGCCCCATCTTATCCCCTGGGGTCATGATCTAAACAAATTTGAATGAGGATGTTTCTCATACCCCAGTCCTAGCCATGGTTTGTACACTATATAAAGAAATTAATCACTAGTGGGTCTTGGAAAGAAGTATACTCTTAGTAATTCCTTAAACTTAGGTAATCAGAGATTACAGAGCTCACCTCAAAATGTTGTCTTTAAGTAAGGCAAAGTCATATACTAAACTAATAATCTAGTGTAATAATAGTAGTGTGCATTCCTACATGCAACATTTATGCAATTTTGGTCTGATAGGGTTTGCAGTTACTTGGGAATGGACTTATCTAAAACCATTAAACTAGACACTCAACCAGAAAATGCAAGTCAAATCCAGCATCTGAAGCAAGTTTGAGAGTGTTCATCCCTTGATGCATCATCCATGCAAGTTTGGTTCAGATAGGCCTTATAGTTTATTTGGCAATGGACCTGCTCCAAAGACTTTAACCTGGTCACTCATCCAGACAAGAGGCCCAGGGGCCTTAACGGTCACCTGAGTATGATACAACAATTTCAAGGATGCATAGAGTATTAAATGAACTGAAAGGTGAAGCTTTGTTGCCCAAAAGCAAGAAAAATAGGGTGATCATGATCAACAAAATAATTGGTCTTAATATTCATTAACAGTTCATAAATTAGGTTCTAATCTGTTCCCCATTTTATCACTATCACTATACAGTATATTAACAAATTATCAATGCTTCTGTACTATTTTAATCCTTTGTTGAAATCTCTTACATTGGCATCTCTTGGTCTTTGATGAATATTTAATAAGACAAGTAATTTTTGTCTCATTTTTATTTATCTACTACTTACAAGTCTATCTGATCATTAAAACTATGAAAGTACTTTTTGTATTATACAATAAAAGTTTTTGCATAATTCTCTTGTTCTATTTACCTTTCAAGTACATTATTTACAGTGATAAATTATCAAAAGTAAATGGCAAAGGGGAATAACTCCTCTCAGTAGAATACAAACTAATAGAGCCCTGGCCAGGACCAGAACACTTGACCAAATGGTCCAGATGTTCAAAAATCTGGTAAAAATTCCCTTCCTTATAAAAACTTTTACTCTGTTTGCCTCAGATATGCCCAGGTGCGGAGAAGATTTTTAAATAAATAATGCATTTTTACTACAGATTCACTATATTATCAATAGAGCCCCAACCCCCAACCCCCCACCCCCAAAACACCAGAGCTTCTGACCCTGGGACCATATGTTTGCTCATCATCACTTTGTTCATCTGCTTAACACTAAGGAGCAAACAGGATTATTTAATAGAATTAATGCATTTTCACTAAATTATCAAGAGCCCCACCCTCACACCAGCACATCTGACCCAGGGGTCATGAAATTCACTACTCTGGAAGAAGCACACTTGCTCATCATAACTATACACTTAGCTTCTTTGCTTTTTTAACCAGAAGAAGAAAAGAATATTTTCAAAGAAATTTTGCTTTTTCACTTTATAATCAATCGAAGCCCCCCCCCCCCCCCCTTCCCCCTCACCAGAACCCTTAAACCCGGGGTCATAAAATTCACAATTTTGGAAGAGGCATCCTTGTGTATCATAACAATGTACTTTAGTCTGTTTAAGCAATACCCAGGGGCAGAGAAGAAGATTTTCAAAGAAATAATTCACCTTCACTATAGGATCTATATAGCCCCGCCCTAGCACCAAAACTCCTGTCCCCGGGGCCATGAATTTCACAATTTTGGAAGAGGCATCCTTGCTTATCATAACAATGTACTTAGTTTGTTTAAATAATACCCAGGTGCTGAGAAAAAGATTTTTAAAGAATTAAAACATTTTCACTTCATAATCAATAGAGTCCCGCCCTAACACCAGAACCCCTGATCCAGGGGCCACGAATTTCACAATTTTGAAAGAGGCATCCTTGATTATCATAACTATGTATTTAATGTGTTTCAATAATACCCAGGAGTAGAGAAGAAGATTTTCAAAGAATTAATGCATTTTCACTATATAATCAATAGAGCCCCACCCTAACACCAGAACCCCTGACCCAGGGGCCATGAAATTCACAATTTTGAAAGAGGCACTCTTGCTCATCATAACTATGTACTTAGTTACTAAACTTAATACCCAGGAGCAGAGAAGAAGATTTTCAAAGGATTAATGCATTTTCACTATATAATCAATAGAGTCCCGCCCTAACACCAGAACCCCTGACCCAGGGGCCATGAAATTCACAATTTTGGAAGAGGCACTCTTGCTCATCCTAACTATGTACTTAGTTAGTTTATTTAATATCCAGGAGCAGAGAAGAAGATTTTCAATGAATTAATGCATTTTCACTATATAATCAATAGAGCCCCACCCTAACAGCAGAACCCCTGATTCAGGGGCCATGAAATTCACAATTTCTGAAGAGGCACTCTTGCTCATCATAACTATGTTTTTAGTTAATTTCTTTAATACCCATAAGCAGAGAAGAAGATATTCAAAGAAATAATGCATTTTCACTATATAATCAATAGAGCCCCCCCCCCCCTTTCACCAGAACCCCTGACCCAGGGGCCATGAAATTCACAATTTTGGAAGGGGCATTCTTGCTTATCATAACTGTGTACTTAGTTAGT